CATCCATCCATCCCTACTCTGCCTCCTCCCTTCCTCATCCTCCATCCCTACTCTGCCTCCTCCCTTCCTCCTCATCCCTCCATCCCTACTCTGCCTCCTCCCTTCCTCATCCCTCCATCCCTACTCTGCCTCCTCCCTTCCTCATCCTCCATCCCTACTCTGCCTCCTCTTCCTCCTCCTCCATCCCTACTCTGCCTCCTCCCTCTTCCTCATCCCTCCATCCCTACTCTGCCTCCTCCCTTCCTCATCCTCCATCCCTACTCTGCCTCCTCCCTTCCTCATCCCTCCATCCCTACTCTGCCTCCTCCCTTCCTCATCCCTCCATCCCTACTCTGCCTCCTCCCTTCCTCATCCCTCCATCCCTACTCTGCCTCCTCCCTTCCTTCCTCCATCCCTACTCTGCCTCCTCCCTTCTCATCCTCCATCCCTACTCTGCCTCCTCCCTTCCTTCCCCCATCCCTACTCTGCCTCCTCCCTTCCTCATCCTCCATCCCTACTCTGCCTCCTCCCTTCCTCATCATCCATCCATCCCTACTCTGCCTCCTCCCTTCCTCATTCCCTCCATCCCTACTCTGCCTCCTCCCTTCCTCATCCTCCATCCCTACTCTGCCTCCTCCCTTCCTCATCCCTCCATCCCTACTCTGCCTCCTCCCTTCCTCATCCATCCATCCCTACTCTGCCTCCTTCTTCTTCATCCCTCATCCCTCCATCCCTACTCTGCCTCCTCCCTTCCTCTCATCCCTCCATCCCTACTCTGCCTCCTCCTTCTTCATCCCTCCATCCCTACTCTGCCTCCTCCCTTCCTCATCCATCCATCCCTACTCTGCCTCCTCCTTCCTCATCCATCCATCCCTACTCTGCCTCCTCCTTCCTTCTCATCCATCCATCCCTACTCTGCCTCCTCCTTCTCATCCCTCCATCCCTACTCTGCCTCCTCCCTTCCTCATCCCTCCATCCCTACTCTGCCTCCTCCCTTCCTCATCCCTCCATCCCTACTCTGCCTCCTCCCTTCCTCATCCCTCCATCCCTACTCTGCCCCTCCCTTCCTCATCCCTCCATCCCTACTCTGCCTCCCTCCCTTCCTCATCCCTCCATCCCTACTCTCCATCCTTCCATCCCTCCCTCCATCCCTACACCGCCTCCTCCTTTCTTCATCCTCCATCCCTTCTCTGCCTCCTCCCTTCCTCATCCATCCATCCCTTCTCTCTGCCTCCTCCCTTCCTCCTCATCCATCCCATCCCTTCTCTGCCTCCTCCCTCCCTCATCCATCCCTCCCTACTCTGCCTCCTCCCTTCCTCATCCCCTACTCTGCCTCATTTCTCACCTTCACTCCACTCACCCCACATCTGCCCCCCTGTGCCTCTCCTGGTACTTCACATTTGCCTCTCCCCATGTGCATCTCCTGGTACCCCACATCTGTCCCCTCAATGTGCATCTCTCCTGGTACCCCACATCTGTATCCCCCATGTACCTTTCCTGGTACCCCACATCTGTCCCCCCTACACTCTCTCGGCTTGTACCCCACATCTGTCCTCCCAATGTGCCTCTCCTGGTACCCCACATCTGCTCCTCCCCCTGTTTGCCCATGCTGGTACCCCACATCTGGCCCCCCATGTGTCTCCCCTGGTACCCCACATTTGTCCCCCCAATATGTCTCCCCTAGTACCCCACGTTTGTCCCCCTAATGTGCCTCTCTTGGTACCCCACATCTGTCCCCCCACCCTGTCCTCTCTCCTGGTACCCCATATCTTCCTCTCCTGGTACTTCACATTTGTCCCCCCCCAATTTGCCTCTCCTGGTAGCCCACATCTGTCCCCCATTCTGTCTCTCTTCAGGTACCCCACATCCGTCTCCCTCTAATGTGTCTCTCCTAGTACCCCACATCTGTCCCCCACTCTGTCCTCTCCTGGTACCCCCACATCTGTCCCCATCCTGTCCTCTCCCTGGTACCCCCACATCTGCCTCCCCCAATGTGGCTCTCCTGGTACCCCACATCTGTCCCCCCCCAATGTGGCTCTCCTGGTGCCCCACATCTGTCCCCCCGCATCCTGTCCTCTCCTGGTACACCACATCTGCCCCCCCAATGTGCCTCTCCTGGTACCCCCACATCTCCCCCCCCAATGTGGCCCTCCTGGTACCCCACATCTGTCCCCCCCATCCTGTCCTTTCTGGTACTCCACATTTTTCCAGCCCCAGCCCCATCCTTGCACCTGGCTGGATTTCCAGCCCCATCTCCATCCTTACAGCTGGATGAATTCTACTCCCCATCTTCTTATCTGGCAGGATTTCCATCCCCATCCTTTCACCTGGCCAGATTTCCTTCCCTATCCTCTTACCTGGCCTGAATTTCCTTCCCCATCCTTTCAGCTAGCTGGATTTCCATCCCCATCCTTTCACCTGGCCAGATTTCCTTCCCCATCCTCTTACCTGGCCAAATTTCTATCCCCATCCTTTCACATGCCCAAGCTCGGATTTCCATCCTCACCTGGCTGGATTTCCAGCCCCATCTCCATTCTTACAACTGGACGAATTCCACTCCCCATCCTCTCACCTGAACAGATTTCCGTCCCCATCCTCTTATCTGACCAGATTTCCATCCCCATCCTTTCACCTGGCCAGATTTCCTTCCCTATCCTCTTATCTGGCCGAATTTCCATCCCTGCCCTTTCACCTTTCTGGATTTCCATCCCCATCCTCTCACCTGGCTGGATTTCCATCCCCATCCTCTCACCTGGCCAGATTTCCACCCCCATCCTCTCATCTGGCCGAATTTCCATCCCCATCCTCTTCCTCTTACCTGGCTGGATTTCCAGCCCCATCTCCATTATTTCACATGGCTGGACTTCCAGCCCCATTCCGATCCTCTCACCTGGCTGGATTTCATGCCCCTTCTCCATTCTCGCAAATTGGAAGTATTCCAGTCCCTATCCTCTCACCTGGTCAAATTTCCATCTCCATCCTTTCATCTGGCCAGATTTTCCATCCCCATCTTCTCGCCTGGCCGGATTTTCAGCCCCACCCTCTTACATGGACAAATTTCCATCTCCATCCTCCCACCTGACTGGACTTCCGAGCCCCCCACCTCCATCCTCTCAACTGTCCGGACTTCCAGCTCCTTCTACATCCTCTCACCTGGCTGGATTTCCAGACCCATCCTCTTACCTGGATGAATTTCCATCCCCATCCTTTCACCTGGCCAGATTTCCATACCCATCCTCTCACCTGGCCTTATTTCCAGCCCCATCCTCTTACCTGGATGAATTTCCATCACCTTCCTCTTACTTGGCCAAATTTCCATCCCCATCCTCTCACCTGGTCAGATTTCCATCCCCATCCTCTCACCTGGCTGGATTCCCATCCTCTCACCTGGCTGGATTCCCATCCTCTCACCTGGCTGGATTTCCATCCCCTCACCTGGCTGGATTTCCATCCCCATCCCCTCACCTGACTGGACTTCCAGCCCCATCTCTATCCTCTCACTTGGGAGGACTTCCAGCTCGATGTTTATCCTCTTACCTGGCTGGACTTCAAGCCTAATCTCTGTCCTCTCACCTCCCCGGATTTACAGCCCCATCCCCATTCTCTCACCTGGCTGGACTTCCATCTCCATCCTTTCAACTGGCTGGATTTCCATCCCTATTCTCTTACCTGGCTGGATTACAAGCCCCATCTCCATCCTCACACCTGGCTAGATTTCCATCCCCATCCTCTCACCTGGCCAGATACGCATCCCCATTTTTGCAGTATGCCAGCTGTAGGCTTCATCTTGCTTTACATCTGACCAGATACGATGTACTAAGATTCACCATTAACAAAGTGTGAGAAATCATTGCATACACTGCCTACGTCAGAGCTGCGTTGGAAAAGACCAGATAATTCCCAGGTTGACTTCTGGGTCGTGCAATGCAAAAAAAAGACAAAAACAAACAAAGAATACAACACAATAATACAATAATAACCCTGACTTTACTTAAGCGCTCAAAAAATGTTGTTGCAGAGGACTAGTGTATGGAAATGTGCCTGGCCGAGGAGTAGACAGAAGAGGCCACCTTGGGTGCTTCAGCAAAAGTTGGTACCTAAAGGGCAGGACCTGCAACCTGTCCTGATGATGCAGTTTACAGATCAGGAATTGGGGGGGAGGGGAGTACTAAAGGACCTTGTCCCGGCACTGATACCTGGACACCAAAAAGCCTACACAACACCCGAGATACTTCATCACTCAACAGTCGGAGGACATCACCTGCTCCTGTCTGCAGCTCACCAAAGTCAATTATTGAGGTGGCCTCATCCATCAAAGGGCCAGTTTGATTAGTGGTGCGCGCTACGCATCTCAGAGTGCTGTGCTTCTGACCTCTGTCTGAAAATGCTAGTTGCCTGGCTTGTTCAATGCTTTATTATCCACTCATCGGGAACAAGCAATCAGGTAGATGAAGTCAGCATTTCTGATCTAATACTTTCCGAATCATGTAGACTTCACCTCCACAACTCCTCCAACCTCCACAACATCTCCAACCTCCGCAACACCCCCAACCTCCGCAACATCTCCAACCTCCGCAACATCTCCAACCCCTGCAACACCTCCAACCTCCGCAACACCTCCAACCTCCGCAACATCTCCAACCTCCACAACACCCCCAACCTCCGCAACATCTCCAACCTCTGCAACATCTCCAACCTCCGCAACATCTCCAACCTCCGCAACACCCCCAACCTCTGCAACACTCTCCTCATTGGCCGACCTCACTGCAGGCTATCCCCTCTTCAGTCTATCATGAATGCTGCTGCCAGACTCATCCACCTTACTAACCGTTTTGTATCTGCCACCCCTCCCTGCCCATTCCTCCACTGGTCTCCATTCAGTGTCCTCCACCCCTCTCTGCCAATCCCTCCACTCAGTGTCCTCCATCCCTCTCTGCCAATCCCTCCACTGGCCTCCATTAAGTGTCCTCCACCCCTCTCTGCCAATCCCTCCACTGGCCTCCATTAAGTGTCCTCCACCCCTCTCTGCCAGTCCCTCCACTCAGTGTCCTCCCCCCCCTCTCTGCCAATCCCTCCACTGGCCTCCACTCAGTGTCCTCCACCCCTCTCTGCCAATCCCTCCACTGGCCTCCATTCAGTGTCCTCCACCCCTCTCTGCCAATCCCTCCACTGGCTTCCATTCAGTGTCCTCCACCCCTCTCTGCCAATCCCTCCACTGGCCTCCACTCTGTGTCCTCCACCCCCCTCTGCCAATCCTTCAACTGGCCTCCACTCAGTGTCTTCCACCCCTCTCTGCCAATCCCTTCACTGGCCTCCGCTCAGTGTCCACCACCCCCTCTCTGCCAATCCCTTCACTGGCCTCCATTACATGTCCTCCACCCCTCTCTGCCAATCCCTTAACTGGCCTCCATTCAGTGTCCTCCACCCCTCTCTGACAATCCCTTCACTGGCCTCCATTCATGTCCTCCACCCCTCTCTGCCTATCCCTCCACTGGCCTCCATTCAGTGTCCTCCACGCCTCTCTGCCAATCCCTCCACTGGCCTCCATTCATGTCCTCCACCCCTCTCTGCCAATCTCTTCACTGGCCTCCATTCAGTGTCCTCCACCCCTCTCTGACAATCCCTTCACTGGCCTACATTCCATGTCCTCGCTGATGTGGACCGCCTCTTACCAGCAGTCCATTAGCCTCCATCCATCCTGCTGCAGATCCTTTCACTGGTGAGAAGAGGCCAGTCCCCTGCAGCAGCAACAAGGGAGGTTCAAGGTTGAAGAAAGCACAACGTCTGATTGGTAAGAATACAATAGGCACACGCTGTACAATGGCAATGAAAGGGTTAAATCTTGCTATGCAATGGCAACCATGGGAGCTGTGACACTTCAAGAGCCTGTTCACACATACGTGTTCCATCCTGAGCCAACATACGTGGAGCCGATGCACCACGATGTATAAAAAAGGCACACAACTTTTTTTTTTTAAGCATTGAAGCGCACCACAACGCATGCGTGTATATTGTGCAATCCCTGACTGTACAGGGCACTGAGGTGCAATAGATAGCATGGCAGTGCAGCGCGCGTAGAGCAGGTCATGGCCATTCAGCCCGGGTTCACATACATGCAATGCAGTCTTTCACATGTCATTCACACGGGAACTGCACCGCATTCCTGTGCAGATCATATGTGATTTGTGTGCGGTGCGATCGGGGCCGTACATATTGTATGGCTCTAATCGCACCGCATCCGCACCAAAAAGGTGCAGGACCCTTTTTTTTTTGGTCTGCACTGGAATCGGATCGCATGGATGTAAATATGTGAACTGATTTTGGGGTGTTGTTAACATACACACCTGCAGCGGTTCGAATGGACAGGGTGCGATTGTAATGCGGGGCGGAATTCAGGGCAGCACAGTGACTAAATGGTTAGTACCACCTGTCTGGAGTTTGCATGTTCTCCCTGTGCCTGTGTGGGTTTCCTCCGAGTACTCCGGTTTCCTCCCACACTCCAGAGACATGCTGGGAGGTTAATTGGCTCCTGTCTAAACTGTCCCTAGAATGTGTATGTATGAATGTGAGTTAGAGATTGTACGCCCCTTGAGCCCGGGTTTACATACATGTGGTGCGGTATATTGCATGTCATTCACACGGGAACCGCACCGCATTTCTCTGCAGATCACATGGAGCCGTACATTTTGTATGGACCGATTTCGGGGTGTTGTTAACTTAACATACACCCCCGCAGCGGTTCACATGAACGGGGTGTGATTCTGATGCAATGCAGAATCCTGGGCAGCACAGTGGCTAAATGGTTAGCACTTCCGCTTGGCAGTATTCGGGTCATTGGTTTGAATCCTTACCACGGCACCTCCTGCCTGGAGTTTGCATGTTCTCCCTGTGCCTGTGTGGGTTTCCTCCAGGTACTCCAGTTTCCTCCCACACTCCAAAGACATACTGGTAGGTGAATTGGATCCTGTCTAAATTGTTCTAGTATGTGTATGTATGGATGTGAGTTAGGGACCTTATTTGATTTGCACAGGAACTGCACCACATTCCTATGCGAATCATGTGCGGTGCGATCGGAGCCGTACATTTTTATTTGGTCCGCACTAGAATCGGATTGCATGCGTATTCACACCTATCCGATTCTGCACCGCGTTTTGCGAACCGATTCCTCTGCAGACCACGTGAATTCTGTGCGGTGCGATCGGAGCGTACATTTTGTACGGCTCTAATCACACCACACCCGCACCAAAATGTACAATATATATGTAAATTGACCCCACTAACAGAGCGAAAATCAGACAATCATTCTTAGATCCGATTTTCGGGACGAAAAATCAGTCGAAATTTCGACCCATGTAGAACCAGCCTTTCACAGTGGCTAAAGAAGGGTTAATCCCAATTTGGGGGGGGGGGGGGGGGGGGGGGGGGCGTTGAATTCTAAGCAGCAGCTACTAAGGGTTTAAGTTCATCACAGCAGCAACAAGGGGTGCAGGGCTACAAAGGCGAGTCAATCGGCCGGCTACCCCGAGATTTAACCATTTGTTGGCTGTCGCTCCCTTTGCAGCCCATAGATTCTAACGAGACGGCATTTAAAAAAACGGAACTCTGTCTCTTTGCTGCCTCAAATCCCCGGAGTATCCCCGGGTCCTAATTCACAGAACGTCAGTCAAAGAAAAGGAGGCCACAAAGGGGGATTAAATCCGAAGCAGAATCCCGAGGAGTGGTCCCAAAGGGGTTCAATTCCTCACAATGGCAGCAAAGAGGTGGCGTTCTCTCCCACACGGCAGAAAAAATATATTTGAAGTATATTTTAAAAATATTCTTCCCAAATATATTGACATATATTTGAAATGCTACAAAAATCTGAAGAATATACGTAGAAAAAATATATTTTTAAAAATATATTTTTTTTTAAAATATATTCTTCAGATTTTTTTTTAACATATAATTTAGTCATTTTTACATATATTTGTAAATGCATTCCAAAAATGGAGATTTGTATTTTTAAAGACATTCAGTATATTTGAAATTATTTTTAAAAATATTTTTCATATATTCTGTAATAAAGGAATGCATTTCAACATGCAGTATATAATATATATATACAGTCAGGTCCATAAATATTGGGACATGGACACAATTCTAACATTTTTGGCTCTATACACCACCACAATGGATTGGAAATGAAACAAACAAGATGTGCTTTAACTGCAGACTGTCAGCTTTAATTTGAGGGTATTTACATCCAAATCAGGTGAACTGTGTAGGAATTACAACAGTTTGCATATGTGCCTCCCACTTGTTAAGGGACCAAAAGTAATGGGACAGAATAATAATCATAAATCAAACTTTCACTTTTTAATACTTGGTTGCAAATCCTTTGCAGTCAATTCCAGCCTGAAGTGTGGAACGCATAGACATCACCAGACGCTGGGTTTCATCCCTGGTGATGCTCTGCCAGGCCTCTACTGCAACTGTCTTCAGTTCCTGCTTGTTCTTGGGGCATTTTCCCTTCAGTTTTGTCTTCAGCAAGTGAAATGCTCAATCGGATTCAGGTCAGGTGATTGACTTGGCCATTGCAGAACATTCCACTTCTTTCCCTTAAAAATCTCTTTGGTTGCTTTTGCAGTCTGCTTTGGGTCATTGTCCATCTGCACTGTGAAGCGTCCAATGAGTTGTGAAGCATTTGGCTGAATATGAGCAGATAATATTCCCGAAACACTTCACAATTCATCCGGCTGCTTCTGTCAGCAGTCACATCATCAATAAATACAAGAGAACCAGTTCTATTGGCAGCCATACATGCCCACGCCATGACACTACCACCACCATGATCACTGATGAGGTGGTATGCTTAGGACCATGAGCAGTTCCTTCTCCATACTCTTCTCTTCCCATCACTCTGGTACAAGTTGATGTCGGTCTCATCTGTCCATAGGATGTTGTTCCAGAACTGTGAAGGCTTTTTTACATGTCGTTTGGCAAACTCTAATCTGGCCTTCCTGTGTTTTGAGGCTCGCCAATGGTTTCCATCTTGTGGTGAACCCTCTGTATTCACTCTGGTGAAGTCTTCTCTTGATTGGTGACTTTGACACACATACACCTACCTCCTGGAGAGTGTTCTTGATCTGGCCAACTGTTGTGAAGGGGGTTTTCTTCACCAGGGAAAGAATTCTTCGCTCATCCACCACAGTTGTTTTCCGTGGTCTTCCAGGTCTTTTGTTGTTGCTGAGCTCACCGGTGCGTTCCTTCTTTTTAAGAATGTTCCAAACAGTTGTTTTGGCCACGCCTAATGTTTTTGCTATCTCTCTGATGGGTTTGTTTTGTTTTTTTCAGCCTAATGATGGCTTGCTTCACTGATAGTGACAGCTCTTTGGATCTCATCTTGAGAGTTGACAGCAACAGATTCCAAATGCAAATAGCACACTTGAAATGAACTCTGGACCTTTTATCTGCTCATTGTAATTGGGATAATGAGGGAATAACACACACCTGGCCATGGAACGGCTGAGAAGCCAATTGTCTCATTACTTTTGGTCCCTTAACAAGTGGGAGGCACATATGCAAACTGTTGTAATTCCTACACCGTTCACCTGATTTGGATGTAAATACCCTCAAATTAAAGCTGACAGTCTGCAGTTGAAGCACATCTTGTTCGTTTCATTTCAAATCCATTGTGGTGTATAGAGCCAAAAATGTTAGAATTGTGTCCATGTCCCAATATTTATGGACCTGACTGTATATTGTACGTCCCTTGAGGGTTAGGGACTGATGTGAATGTACAATATATATGTAAAGCGCTGCGTAAATTAACGGCGCAATATAAGTACCTGAAATAAATTATATATATATATATTGAAATATATTGAATATGGCCAAAATTGTAGTATTTCAAATGGAAGAAAAATATATTTGAAATATATTTTAAAAATATTCTTCCTAAATATATTGACTTATATTTGAAATACTGTATATTATTATTCCATGTGCCTGTCCTTTTATTTTTTTTATAAAAATGTGCAATGCCAACCATTTTATTCTCTAGGGCCTCTGCTTAAAAAAAAAAATATAAAAACAAAAAAATATATATATATTTACACACACACACACATATATTTTTTTTTTTCCAAAAAGAAAGCCTTTATTAATACAAAACATAATGGTACAAAAGACATGTACAGGGTGCCTACGCGAAACAGCAGGCACAATCTACAGCGACACAGCAGTAACTCAAACAAGAAAATACAGATAATGCAATGATACATAACCCGAGTACAATAAGGATATGCTTGCAGCAACCGGAGCCAATATAGTATAGTATGGGGTGTAAATGCATCATATAATAATATCCCCTGCACTCGTGCTTCGTCATGTAGGGCTGTAGCGATAGGAAGAGTGGTCATAGCACCTGAACGTAAGATTCGGTCAAAAACTTATGACGATGGGGAGAGT